CATATCGGAAATATATACAACTAAATATCATTAAAAATTAAATAAACTAAATCAGTTAATTGCGTTATAAGAAAGCAATCATAAAGAAAATTTTTTTTGCATTTTATTTAACAATGGAACCATTCAAAATTTTATTGCATTTACAAAAAGAAAACTTTTTATACTTACATAAAATCTGAATAATACAAATTTTTTATTGTACGCAACGTTTTAAACATTATTCTGCAGTTTTTACAATGTAGAATCCCGAAAAACTAATTTTATTTTATCGTTATTAATTTATACTCTTAGATCTCCCTCGTAGAACAGAGAACAGTAAAATAGTATATCGAAGTATTAAACATCTGTAATAAAATATTTCTTTTGCTTTATTTTGTAAAATATTAAGTAATATTAAAAATTTAATAGAACTTTTTTTAACCAAACATTTGGGGACAATAAGTTTTATAGATAATCGATTTTTTTTAATAATCCAACTACGACGTTTTGAAGTAAAAGTTAATTATTATTAATTTCGTAATATTATTGACTATGAGAGAGAGATAAAACAAAAAATATAATAGTATAAATTTTATAATTTTTTTTATCTTTTATTCTATTTTCTAGCTGTACTGAGCTGTTAGTTAACATTTTGTAAATAATAATTATTATAGTGAATACGTTTTTGTATGATTTATGTGATGTAAAGCGTGATTCGACTGAAATAGCAATAGAATATTTTAAAATTATTGTTAATGTTATTAGATTAAACAATATTCTCAGAGATAATACATAGAAGAACTTACTATAAACTACAACATATGATACATGTTTCTTACCGTAGCCGCACTTTCTAAGGACGCCACAAATATTCCACCGAGATTTATATGAAAAGGTTTAGTGCCTCTTTGCAGTAAAAACAATATTATTTTCTGTATATGTAATGGAGCCGTGTACCACTGAACGTTGTATCTACAAAATAATAATTGCTAGTTTTAATAAGAGAAAAATATTTGGTAATAATAAATATATTTGTTCTACGAATCGTATTAGTGCTTTTACTGTAATATCTTTTTATAATTTAGATTTCTATTACAAAACGAATACTCTTGTATGACAAAATGATGGAAATATTTCTTACACTGTAGCAAATACACATTCGTTGTGATCCGTAATATCTTGCGCAGTATAGTTGGCTAAAAACAAGTACGCGTAGAGGATGTTTATCATTATAAAAGAACCAACAAGTTTTCCAATTTCATCATTATATGACGCAAGCTAAAAAATGTAATACGTCTGTTAAGTATTGTATCAACTTCTTACGCACGATCGAATCATATTGGGTTCTGTATATATTGCATGATAAAATTTCAATAGATTATATGTCATCGGATCAGAATATTGAATTATTGAGAATAATTGAGAATTAAGAGTTTTAATATTAAGTTTTTATTTAGTTATTGCTAATTTAATTACTTAGCTTATACATATAATTAGCAATTACAGTATCTTAAAAATTAGGTAACCATTATTTTCATGAATTATCGTTTTTAATAAATATATTATAGATAAAAAAGCGTTTAGCTACTTCTTTTTATTTTTTTGACTATTTCATAAAATTCTAATATCATAAAATTACAATTAAATATTTTACCCGAAAAAGATGAAGGCTAAGACAAGTCACTATGATTGCTATCATGAAGGAGAATGATCCTTCAAAATTTGATATTAAAAAGTCCGTGAACCTTTAAGTACAAGAAAATTTGTGTAATTATATTAGTATTTAATGCTCCTTATTAAATACTAGCTGGTTACCCGGGTTTCGCCCCGGAAGACATATGTAATAAGACACGCCAATAGTCTCTCTCTCTCCCTCTCTGGAAAATTTCGTAACCAATTTCCAAAAAGATACCGGTTCCCAAAAAGAACGGTAACGAAAAACTATACAGTTTATAGCATTCCCCGGGAAATTCTACCCCTGTTTTACATTCAATTCTTTAAAATTCGATAAATTATTTCCCGAAAAATTCGTCAAACTTCTGATATTGTTTCCAAAAATATCGGTAACGAAAAATTATATACTTTATAGCACTCCCCAGAAAATTCAACCCAGAAAAATTGGTTTCCAGAAAATTGGTAACAAAAAACTATCGACTTTATGGCACTTCCCGGGAAATTCTACCCCTATTTCATGTACCCTTGGTAAAAATTCGGTCCACTAACGAATGAGTAGTTCGCGGACAGACAGACAACCAAACAGTCGGGTTTTATATAATAGTATGATGATATACCAACTCTGTAGCCTTGCGATGAATATCTACGGCATAAGTAATCTTCTTATAAACCATGTTCTCACTCTTTAGGATATCTTTTTGTAAAACATTGACTGCCTGTTCGATTCGATAACTGTAAACAAATCATTTCATTCCTTCAATTAATTTTATTTTGTTTTGAGATAACAAACAAATATTGTTTACGATTATATTCTAGCATTCATTTACTCACCTGGCGATACTAAACATTCCGCAGATATGTTGAAGATATGCAATGAGCATAGTTCCTGTCGCTATCAGTGAGACAGCCCCTATGTAAATAGCTGCTAGTACATGCAGCGTGATTAAGTAGGAATATTTTTCTTGATCAATAAAGTATTCTGTCATAACATACACTGAAGGATTTAGTCGAGACTCGTTTTTAGGCAGACCAATGTATTGAATGTACGTCCAGATATACATAGCAGTTACTGTACCTACGCAATATATACCTAGCACTGAAAGAAATTTTGTAAAATTAGAAAGCACACACACACACACACACACACACACATATATATATATATATTTATATATCAAACATTCAGTCGTCTTTTAATTTTTTGTATTGAGGCTAGACAGAATCTTGTTTTGTCTTGAAAAAAATGTGTTTATGATTATGTTTAATCTAATTTTTAAACATACAGAAGACTCGACATCATGTCTTACGTATAATTGCAGTTGTGTAACGTTTTGCCTTGCTCCCATATTTTTTTAGAATAGCGATTTCATTCTCATCTCTTAGCTCGTTACATACATCTTGAAGCCGATCCAGCGAAATCCTTATCTGTCAATAATATTATCCCATTTTTTTTTGTAAAGGAGGTTGACTATTCTAAGCCCTTTTCTACGCAAATAAAATAAGGTTTATTCAGAAGCTTATGTTAGAATATTAACGTAACCAGTAGCATAAGGTTTGCAGCTAATGCAGGAGAGGAATATAGCTTGAGTACAGGACACTATTTTCGTACCCATCACTCAAATCACCACTTTCTACGTTTGCAGTCATGTCATCCAAGAAGCTTGCTGGGAGCGAAATAAGCAAGGAATGTCTACCATATTCCGAACACCATGATATTGTTATAACATGGATATAACGCAATAATCCACTGTGCGAAGACTATTCTTACAATGACAGTAGTATCCTTTTATGGCATCTGCGGCTTCATTCGGTTCTTATATCCGATTAAGATATAAAGTACTTTGTACTTCCATAATAACGTGTCAAATTTGAACGGGATCATTATCTCCTGTCAGTAGGTTATATTTTTAAATGCGCGTGCGCGTTCAACATAAATGCACACTTATAGCATTTTCTACTGGAAAAACTAGTGCAACTGTACACACTGATTGTGAATGTAATTTTATTGTTTTAATGTGAAAATTAGTTTACATATTTTCAGTGTTTAATGTACTATTGACAGAAATTTGTCAAGTTAAACACAGTAGAACATTAAACACTGAAAATATGTGTGCATCAGCGTGCACCAGTGTGCACGAGTGTTGCACTAGTTTTTCCAGTAGAAAACGCTATTAGAGTTTGTACATGCCGTTTGCTCGTACGTGTTTAGCACAATTAATATACTGCTTCGAGTTGAATCTGCACGGACAGCTGAGTACATGTATCACACGCTCGTTTTATTTCCCTTCCACGTATGGCTCCAGAAGAGGACATCACTACAGGGGATTTGTCACAAAAAAATCGAAATATCTCTCTGTCTTTTTTTGACATGACGGCGAAATAACATAAAGCATCCAAAAACTTAGCCGAATCAAGACAAGCATGCAACAACCATGCACCATTATGTAGTTGATAGAACTCAATGGAGGCTCTACTGGGATCTAAATCTATAGGATAATATAAAAAGAATATCGTAAATTAAATTGAAAACTAGGCAAAGATCATGTTTCCTAACAAATCTAATAGGGCCTCTCTTGCACATTCTGCAGAAAAACTCGCATAGCATTGAATCAAGACTTTATGACAAATAATATTTGAACCGTATAGAAAAGGGCTCAGAAATCACCAAAAATGGTCATGCTTCTTTCAAAATGCTTATAGTCAAACTTCTGCATTCTTGATTGGGACGGAATTATATCTATGTTATTTCTGTTTAATTTCCTTACATTATAATTATAATACAAATAGAGTTCTTCAAATCATGAAAAACTGAAAGAAAATTAAGAATAAATAGATAAATTTAGTCCTAATAAGTAAGAAATATAAAAATCCGATAGTTTTACATTCAAAAATTCTGTTTATCACTAATGCATATATGATTGTTAACACTCTTACAGTATCGGCGTTAATCCAAAACGAATTATATTTGATCACATAGCATGTAAAGAAAAACGTAGTAGAAATAATCTCGAAAATATGTTCTGGAGTACATTTTGACGTCAAGAATGTGGTAAACTGCAAGAAATGATTTTCAATAAATAAATTAGCCGTAAAAAAAGCAACAGTAGATTAGTCTGATTAGCAAACTGTAATTTTATTATTCTTTGTTACTCTGTATACTATGTACAATAAATTAGTAAACACAGCAGGTAATTAATATTCGGATATGATTGTATCACAATAATATTATTTTAATAAAATAAAATATTATGCAATATAATTTGAAATTTGATAGGTGTAATTAAAATAACGTTTATACAATATTTGGTAGCTTATTTCATAATAATAATATTAAAATCTTAACATACTTGGAATATAATGAAAATTATCAGAGTGCCAAGGAATAAAATTGACTGAAGTTCAACGACTCGCGATCGTTGGTAAGGCCACAAACCAACGGCAAGCAGCAGGATTCGATTGACGTTAAAATGTCTAGTTTTGAGACAAATCATCTCTTCGTAAGCACAGAGATATATTTGACGGAAAAGCAGTGGACGGAAATCTATATATCTCTTCTCTTTTCTCTTGATTGATGGTATATTTGCCTAAGCAATGCTAAGTATTAGTATTTCAGCTTCAAATTAGTAAATTTTGTTAATGTTAGTATATTTAGTAAATCAGATAATGTCGTGGAAAATAATTTTTTTTCTAGCGAAAATAATTTCACTCATATACACTTACCCGCAAAAAATTTGGGCTACTTGAAATTAGCGTTAAAAAGCACCTAATTCAAAGTTACATATTTTTGTGAATAATGATCGCAAAGTGATGTTTTAAAGCTTTTTAAAGCTTTGTAAAGCTTGAGTCCTCAGCTGTCGAATGCTTTGAGACTTGTTTTTTTGCGAAAATTTTACTACAAACGGCGCTAATTTAAATTGGACATTGCAAAATTGAAGAATACACTTCAACTTTTATAGCGTACACGTGGAGAACAAAATTTATTCTCCAAATTTTATTGATTATATCGTAAAATTTAACATTTTCTCTTTAATTTTTTTTTTACTGAGTTATGACAATTTGAAGTGAATAGTAGATTTTCTGGTCTTTTCTCTGAAAATCCGGCTCCGTTGGCAAAATGGTGCAAACGACAAACTGCAATGTTCATACGGGAGTGACAAACAGCGAGATACTTATCTCCGCTGCAGCACTGTGACACACACACACTCACAAACATTAAAGCACGCGCCTGATATCTCACTATAGTAGGAAAATCATTTATACGTTCCGCTGCAAAAAACGTTCCTGAATGTGAAATACATTCCCTAGCATATGCAAGTTCTTCTACTGCCCAAAGACGTGACTCAACTGTGGGCTGATTTTGTAACTTTTAACGACAGTTTCGTTATCGTTATATTGTCGTTGCGCTGCTTTCTTACCATGTATAATATTTGCGCAACAACAATATAACGATAACGAAACTGTTGAGAGTTACAGAATCAGCTTGCTAGACATGTAGTTGTCGACAGCTATTATGTTTGCCGCGATTTGAATAGAAAGCAAAGGAAAACAAGAAAGCATTGCACTTGCAACAATAAAGGAGTGTGCGATGAACATCCCATATCAAGTTAACGTGCTATTACTGTATCCAAGTTTCCTCATAATCATCCTAAACATTGTACTATATTTTGATATTGTAATAGAATAGAAATGAAATATGAACATAAATAAACACAAATATAAATTGTTTCTGCATTATTTCCAATTTTATACAAACCATGTGAAGGTACCTTCGTCATTCTAATTAGAGTGTTAAACAACTTTTGTTCTCCCGTCTTCCCCATTCTTCCCCATTATCGATGAGTTCTTATGGAGTTTGAGCCTCCTGATGCAACTAGAACATAGAAAATTTTTAGTCTAAAAAACGCAAAAGTACCTGGCTATTTCATCACTCAATAGCTTCGTGTCATTAAAAATAAGTATTAATTAATGATGACAACTTTGCGCTGACAAAAATGATTGATTGTGCTAAAAAGCACGATTTCAGATCGCAAAATACATGCCCTAATTCACATGTGAATTTGAAAGCCGTTACTTAATCTGAAACTGATAGAAAGAATCAAGTGATTCTAATGATAATAAAAATATAAACCTGTTTGTTGATGATACTGTTTCTGATATAAGTCGGCTACCAAAATAAAGGAAACTAAAAAACGTTGTCGGAAAGGTCAGAAATTATACGTCATTTCCACCTTTAAAAATAAGTTACCAAATAAAGGAAAGTAAACCAAGAAAATAGAAATAGGCGAAAATGAAATAATTTCTTTTGCAAATTGGTAATTAGTAAAATAGTAGAAAATGTAGAAATAAAATTAAAAAATGGTGCAAGTTAGAAATTTGCACTTGGCTTTCTCATAGAGGAAGTGATGTCTTAAGATGCTAATACGGTCCTCTGATTGGCTACTATTAGCAATTTTTTTAATTCTATTACATTCTTTAGTTTTTTCTAATCCTATTTCATATATAATATATAATTCATTACATAATATAATATATAACTCATATATAATTCTTTAAAATTCGGTCAATTATTTTCCGAAAATTTTGAAAAATTTCGGAACCGGTTTCCAAAAATCGGTAATAAAAAATTACATACTTTATGGCAATTCCCGGAAAGTTCTACCCCTATTTACTATTAGCAATTTTTTTAATTCTATGACATTCTTTAGTTCTTTCTAATCCTATTTCATATATAATTCTTTAAGATTCAGTCAATTATTTTCCGAAAAATTGGAAAAAATTTGGAACCAGTTTCCAAAAGTCGGTAATGACAAATTTTATACTTTATGGCAATTCCCGAAAAGTTCTACCCCTACTTCATATATAATTCTTTAAAATTCTATTATAACGAATAACTTGTACACTTTTTAGGCAAAAATCGGTAACCTCTTCACCGATCATTGCCAAATTCAACACCAACTTACCTATAATAATACTCTATTCATAAAAAAAAATTGAGCTCAATGTCTCAAAATTTGCGGAAATTAAAGTAATCTATAATTCTTTAAAATTTGGTTAATTAGTTTTTGAGTTATAGAAATTTTGTTAAATTTTGCTGTTTTTTTTTTAGATAAAAATCAGTAACCTCTTCATTATTATCAATTTTTATTAATTCCATTATATTCTTCATTTTTTTCCACCTAATTCGTTAAGATTTGGTTGATTTCAAGTTTGAGGTTCAACACCAACTTACCTTTAATGATACTCTACGATTTTTCGACGTTTTCGAACATAAGCAACACATTGACATCGAAAACTCAAAAAACAATTTTTACTTCGGTTTTTTCTACCCCTATTTCATGTATAATTCTTTTAAATTCGGTTGATTAGACTTAGCTTTATATGCGAGCAAAATTATGGACCTTTAATCGCGTATATATAAAGCTGGGTTTAATCAACCAAATCTTAAAAAATTATATATGAAATAGGGGTAGAAAAAACCGAAGTAAAAATTGTTTTTTGAGTTTTTAATGTCAATGTGTTGCTTTGCTTATGTTCGAAAACGTCGAAAAATCGTAGAGTATCATTAAAGGCAGGTTGGTGTTGAACCTCAAACTTGAAATCAACCAAATCTTAACAATCATCTTATCTTATCAAATTTGCGGAAGTTAGAGCAACCATGGACATTTCTAAAAAAATTAAAAAAAAAACCGATCATCGCCAAATTCAATATCAACCTTCCTTGAATGATACTTTATCGATTAAAAAAAAAAAAAACATCCCGATATCACAAAAATTACGGAAGTTAGAGCATATACGGACAACAAAAGCATACATACATACACACATACATACATACACACGGACATTTTTTTTTAGGCAATATTTCGACGTTTTACAACAATCTGAACATATTGGCAGAAAAAACTCAAAAACCAATCTCTTCGTTGGTTTCTTCTACCCTTATTTCATATATAATTTTTTTAAATTTGGTTGACTAAACCCAACTTTATATGCAATCGAAGGTTCCATATATACGAAATTCACGAAAACAAAGTTTTCTCTATGAGGAAGCAAAAGGCAGCAAAAACGAGAAAGAGTAATATACTTCCTTGATGGAAGAAAGAAACATTGATAAAATGTCTTTGACATCTCAAATAAAATTCTTTGTCCAGGATGCAATAAAAATTTTGAAAATGACTATATTTTGTGGAATTCGTATTCGATGGTGTCATGAGGCTTATTTCGGTTATCCTGACATCATGAGTACTTTTAAACACTTTATTGCATAAATGTATGGATTTACAGATTTGTATACTTTTCTTAATACAAATAGTTTTATATTAGTATACAAAATTATTTATTATCATTATCTTTGCAAGTTACTTGACTTGCTTATATGTAAAAGAATTATTTTTTCTTTAAATAAATGTTTGTTACAGGCAAAAGTTTATTGAGTGCGTTTCTGTTGTCGGTAAATAATCAATATTGTTTTCATTAAATAGTCTATTGTTTAAAACAGTTATTTGTCGTGCAGATTGAGTTATTTCATTGGGGCTCTCTCCATACCGGGGCTATATGGCTCCAGGGATATGTTGCTCATGTGCTATTTTTTAGTATTTATATTGAGAGGAACAAAATGGATGGAAACTCGCGTAATGCTTTTTTTTAGAATCTAGAAGAACTATTTCTCTATTTTTTATCAACAGTTCCTCTCGAGATAAATACTAAAAAATAGCACATAAGCAATATACCCCTGGAGCCATATAGCCTCGGTTTCCCTTACTTGAAATAATTACATATCGGAAATATATACTACTAAATATCATTAAAAATTAAATAAAGGAAATCAGTTAATTGCGCTATAAGAAAGCAATCATAAAATTTTTTTTGTATTTTATTTAATAATATAATAGAACCATTCAAAATTTTATTGCATTTACAAAAAGGGAACTTTTTATAATTACATAAAGTCTGAATAATAAAAAATTTTTATTGTACGCAACGTTTTGAACATTATTCTGCAGTTTTTACAATGTAGAATTTCGATTTTTTAATAATAATATTCTCCCTTCGCAGAATTACTAATACTTCAACACATATATTACGTAAAGTGCGAGATCGAAATGGTCTCAATATTTATTTCAATCAACTTCACCATCCCCTTTTCATTCTCTCGCTTCCAAATTGAAACTAATTTTGTTTTATCGTCATAAATTTATACTCTTAGTTCTCCCTCGTAGAACAGAGAACAGTAAAATAGTATATCGAAGTACTAAACAACTGTAATAAAATATATCTTTTTTGCTTTATTCTGTAATAAGTAATATAAAAAAGTATAACAGAACTTTCTTTAACCAAAAATTTGAGGACAATACGTTTAGATAATCGATGTTTTTCCGCTAATTCAACTACAATGTTTTGAAGTAAAAGTTAATTATTAATTTCGTAATATTATTGATCATGAAAGAGAGAGAGATAAAAAAAGAAATACAATAGTAATTTTATAATTTTCTTTATCTCTTATTTTATTTTCTAGCTGTACTGAGCTGTTAGTTAACATTTTGTAAATAATAATTATTATAGTAAAACTATACGTTTTCGTATGATTTATATGATGTAAATCGTGATTCGACTAAAATAGCAAGAGAATATTTTAAAATGATTGTTAATGTTATTATTGATTAAACAATATTCTCAGAGATAATAGAAGAACTTACTATAAACTACAACATATGATACATGTTTCTTACCGTAACCGCACTTTCTAAGGACGCCACAAATATTCCACCGAGATTTATATGAAATGGTTTAGTGCCTCTTTGTAGTAGAAACAATATTATTTTCTGTATATGTAAGGGAGCCGTGTACCACTGAACGTTGTATCTACAAAATAATAACAATAGCTAGTTTTAATAAGACAAAAATATTTGGTAATAATAAATATATTTGTTCCACGAATCGTATTAGTACTTTTACTCTAATATTTTTTTATAATTTAGATTTCTATTACAAAATGAGTACCCTTGTATGACAAAATGATGAAAATATTTCTTACACTGTGGCAAATACATATTCGTTGTGATCCGTAATTTCTTGCGCTATATAGTTGGCTAAGAACAAGTACGTGTAGAGGATGTTTATTATTATAAAAGGTACAAGTTTTTCAATTTCATCACTATATGACGCAAGCTAAAAAATGTGATACGTCCGTTAAGCTTTCAACTTCTTACGCATGATCGAATCATATTGTGTTCTGTATATATTACATGATAAAATTTCAATAGATTATATGTCATCGAATCAGAATATTGAATTATTGGGAATAATTGAGAATTAAGAGTTTTAATATTAAGTTTTTATTTAGTTATTGCTAATTTATTTACTTAGCTTATACATATAATTAGCAATTACAGTATCTTGAAAATTAGATAACCATTATTTTCATGAATTATTGTTTTCAATAAATATATTATAGATAGAAAAATGTTTTGCTACTTCTTTTTATTTTCTTAACTATTTCATAAAATTCTAATGTCATGAAATTAGGATTAAATATACAGAATTTTACCCAAAAAAGATTAAGGCTAATACAAGTCACGCCGATTGCTATCAAGAAGAAGAATGATCCCACAAAATTTGATATTAAAAAGTCCGTGAACCTTCAAGTACAAGGAAATTCGTGTAATTATATGAGTATTCAATGCTCTTTATTAAATATATACCAACTCCATAGCCTTGCGATGTATATCTATGGCATAAGTAAGCTCCTTATAAACCATGTTCTCACTCTTTAGGATATCTTTTTGTAAAATATTGATTGCCTGTTTGATTCGATAACTGTAAAAAAATGATTATATTCCTTCAATTAATTTTATTTTGTTTTGAGATAACAAACAAATATTGTTTACGATTATATTCTAGCATTTATTTACTCACCTGGCGATACTAAACATTCCGCAGATATGTTGAATATATCCAATGAGCATCGTCCCTGTTGCTATCATTAAGGCATTTCCTACGTAAGAAGCTGCTAGTGTATGCAGCGTAATTAAGTAGAAATATTTTTCTTGATCAGTAAAGTACTCTGTCGCAACATACACTGAAGGATTTAGTCGAGAATCGTTCTTAGGCAGAACAATGTGTTGAATGTACGGCAAAATTTGTACAACAGCTAAGTTACATTTGTTCAATATGCCAAGCACTGGGAGAAGTTTTGTAAAATTAATCACACACATATAAATCAAACCGCCTTTTTTTCATTTTTCTCTGTTGAGGTTAGCGAAAATCTTGTTTTGTTTTGAAAAAAATGTATTTGTGATTAATCTAATTTTGGAACAGAGAACTCGACTACCATTATCTTACGTATAAATATGGTTGTGTAACATTTTGCCTTGCTCCCGTATTTTTCTATGATAGCGAT